GACAATTTTCGCCATGTGAGCTGAACATAGCTGTTACATATTACAGGGAGATATGCTTGAGTCACAGCTTTATCCACGTGCCCTACGTAAGAAAAAGGAATGGTCGAAAGGAACACAGCTTGCTTCCTCCGACGCCAACGATCCGATTTTTGGGAAAAAAAATATCCAGAATATATCCAGGGGAAGGAGAAAATGGGAACTTAAGGGATTTCGAGAAGGCATAACACACCTATTAATGCTAGCCTTAAATTCGGTAAATTGCATATAAGGTGGGTACCTAACCAGCTACTAATAGAGGGGAGAAACAGCAGGAGCTTGGATTTCTAATTTTCACGTTCCGTATATGACTATGAAAGGGAAATGATCACGTGGTGCTAATGATAAATTTTACTAGCAAAAACGGCCCATTCAGCTCCACTTCATCTCATCTGTTTCAGGTTATATAGAATTGAATTGTGGAAAGGAACAACCACTTAAGAGAGGCACGAACAAGGTTCCAGCAGAAGTACGCACACTGCAACTGTTCATATGCATTATCAAGTTCACATGCGCGTCAATCAACCCGCACCCTCACCGCTCATTTTGAACCCCCACAAAATTAATTATCATTCGGATGAACCTCATGAATGTGACTTGAACTTGTTAGCCGTGGAAACAAAGTTCAAGTTGGTTTCAAAGCTGAGGGTTCTTCACGTAGCATATAACTTGTAGTATGTATGGCGTGCAGTGACAGAATGTACCACTCAAAGACAGATAAAGCGCCTTTATAAGGTTTCATATTCATGAAAGTAACAAAGAATTACGTACCATTGCCGATTAAAGTAACCAACGATTAACATGTCAGGAACAACCTCCAGTAATGTAACGTAACTTGAAAGATGAAACAATTCATTTAAAACTGTACCAACTGATGGGTAAAGTCTCGGAGCCGAAGAAGATGAACACTGCATGCATTAACATCACAGTAAGCTTCCTCACCTATTTCATTTACATTACAAAAAAGGCGGCGTTGCCAATTTCAGCTGTCTGGAAAAGGAATAAGAGTTCCTGAACGAGGGGCACAAACTTAGATTTCCCATGTCTCAAACCCTTCTGGCAACGACAAAAGTAGGAGTGGGAATAGCAATCTAAAAACCCACTACTCCTGAAGTTTAGAAGGAATAATTGGCGCCGCGTAGGCGACAAACAGTTGTGAAACTAATGCGTAAGCTGCATCAGGAATGGAGGATCTGCACTAGTTCAAGCATTGGACATTGTGGGCAAAAGATATGCAGGGATACTAGGAGAGCAAATTTGTATCCGTCGGCATGGATTGGAAGAAAGTTCTTCCTATTATAATTACCTACAAGTCCATCGAAATTCCAATAACAAAGCTGGTTAAAAACTGCAGCATAAACCTTAAGTGGTAATGAAATGGAGGAAATCAGCAGGAAAGTATTTTGTAATGAGGTAATGTCGAACATACCAAGAAACGACGATTACATCCGATACGAACCACAGCATGGTGCGGCTTTCAAAAAGCAATGGTATGTCCAGAATGACAATGGCCTGTCCCGAAAGGAAATTGCGCAAAATCTGAACAACAATGCGTCTGAACACAATGGGATGGACGATCCTATTGAGAACCTTCCGCTTTTCGGGATCAGCGAAAACAATTTCACCTAGTTTATCCCTCTCCACATGGGTTCCATCATCGTTAAAAACTGAAGGTCCGAATGCCTTGAGAATACCCCTCTGCACTTGTCTATCGTGGTCAACAACTATTAAGCAATTGCGTATACATGAAATGCCTACGATTTCTTGATATTGTATCAGCATCAATAACTGCGACATTCTTCTCCTTTAATATAGCTGAAACAGTTGATTTGCCGGTCGCGATACCACCCGTCAGCCCAACAATAAGCATTTTAACAGTCTCTGCTTCAACTGTTACACTGACATCGCGGCGGCGAACATTGAGGTTAGTGGGCCAAGGCTAAATAGGGCAGCAAATGTTACCAATGCAGTTTGGAATGTAATTTAATAGTTGGTTAAATATATAGGCTCACGCATCTGGTAGTTTAGTTAGTTTAATGGTTCCAGTACACAGATTAATTTGTTTGGATAAGCGAAGATATTGTTTTGAAGTCAGTGGCACTGTAGTATAAGTAATATGACTTGTGCAAAGGCATTTATGAGTTGATGCTGCAGGTTATTTAGATTATGTAATTTTGAACTTCTACTACAACAGCACTAAATTACTTCTCAGTTCTGCTTTTAAATAAGGATATGGAGAAGTTGGATTATACACCCTCCTTTGAAAAGGACATTTTAAACGCTTTGGGTTCCCAGAGTCTCAATTTATTCCCTCAGCAGCTCCTGAACTGAAATGATCCTACTTATCTACTACATCCTTAATATTTTTATTTCACCTAATATGCTGTTATATTTGCATTGTGTTATGAAAAGTTAAGTTCAGGGTTATACTGAACTATAAAATGTGTGGAGTCCTTCCAGAAGTGATTGAATGAGTGGGCTAATGTTAACATGATGTGCCCCAAGAAGACTAGATTTCAAAAACAAAGATTTAAGTACATAAACATGTGTGCATGCGCAAAACAATAACACTCATAAGTAGTTCTATGCAATGCATATAACTTTTTAAGTATCCTTCAGGTGAGAAACACTTAGGAAACACAAGTTCGGTAGAGAAGGAGTAGTAAAAGTATTTTATGGGCGGAAGCGAGTTCAGAACTCAGATTACCTTAAACCCGTATTCCAATTCGCTGATGTTTATCAATAAGCATGCCCCTATAGAATCAGCCTGTTAGTTCTACGGGTTTGAAGGCCAGAGAGGAAGAGCTAAGTGAGGTGATTGCTACATCTAGTCTAAATAGTTGAGGGCGATAAATAATACACTTGACCGTTTCATCTCTTCTGGTCGAATTCTCTGAGGTACTGTATCTTAGACAAGCTAAATCATCCCTTACCGTGTTAGAATTTATGACTAGCAAGTGCAACGGATGGAATGATTTATTAGTAAGCACAATCGCCTTGGCTAGTAAGCTTCAAATGGATTGAGATACAGCGTAAAGATAATTTTTGCATTTCTTGCTTCAGTTATTAATAATAGACCGCGTTTTAAATTTGCTTCTCGGATTTCGCGTATACATATTACCAAGCCGGTATTTTAGGCATTCGTGTGGGGAGTTCGCAACATTCTTACCGGTGCCATTATCTTTTCTTAACAACCCTTGAATTTCTCTTGAAAATTAAAGTGGAATTAACTCCAAGTTAAGTACTCATCCTACTACGGGTATGGAAGGCGTAGTTCACTCTTCGCAAAAACAATTCTCGCACGAATATTCCATTCCCAAAAGACATTTGATCCAATGTGGGGGAATTCCTAAGAAAAGTTCTTACTGTTTTGTGCCGCGATAATCTCAACATAGAATACGGATTGATCTAAATTGCTTTTCCCGCCTAATAGGTAATGCAGAAGACAAATTTTTCATCAAGAAAAAAGGAACAAGAGCAGATTGGTTCAAGCACTTAATTAACGTTTTCGAATGGCAAAGTTGTTGCATTTTGCTCAAGCGTTTGTGGCAAAGTTGGATATATTCCCAGAAATTTACCGCATATGTATGTAAAATAAAAAGGAATGCAGCTGTAAGTCAACAGATTCGAGTGGCTTTTAGCAGGGTAAAGGAAGGCTGAGAAAATAATGGTCATGGCTCCCGGACAAGTTGCTAAAGCAGAAGTTGAATGTCGTGGTACTTTGTTAAACTGCATGGACTTTTCCGCTTCGACATGGCTTTCTGAACGTGACTACAGATTCTCGACTCACCTGCATTTCGGTGGTTAATCTCCCTCCATACTACTGTGATTTACTACGACTTCACCAAAGATCTTGAGCACTGGAGAATAAGGCCGCTTGCCGAAGATGACCGAATCTGCCAAGATTTCGTACTGAGGGGTTTTATACGACGTCTCCTTTGGCAACTACTCCGGTCTCCTAATTTGTAAATAAGGTACTAAAAAAATGACGCGCCAGACTGAAAAGGTTTAAAAAAGTCCATTCTGGAGATGTATAAGATTCTTACTTATAAACAGTAATTTCGTGAACTAAGATGCCTCCTCCTAGTTCCTACCAGTTGAATGGAACCCAGACAGGCACTCGTGAAATGCGAACCAAGTGGTAAGGTGAAATACATGCAGAATATTACCCTAATGCGGTTACTTTAAATATTGTATTTAATGAGGCGACTCTACTTTTCAGCCCACAAAATGGGTCGTCAAGCCTTTAGCAGTACGAAGTCAGGTAGTTTTCTCCACCTCGATGTAGTTCGCCCGTAGGATGGATTCCAGTTTCGGTTTTAAAACACGCACTATATTTTGGTGGGCCACGAAGGAGTCCACCAAGGGTAGCTCCTAGGGCAATGCTCCCACAAGATAGGAAGCTAAGTGATGATTTAAAAATCTGCTAAAATATTTTTTAATTGAACGGGCCATTCAGACTCTGTAGGTTGTCCTTCCATTGTGTAGCATGATCCTCTAGTTGTGCCAACATCCTTCCAACCTTTCTGTACGTTAAGAGCAAATCTTATTACCATTGTGGTTTATTTTTTTAGCAAGAAACACTCGAGGCACTACGGAAGTACAAAATTGGGGAGCCAACATGGTTTAATATATCATCGCAAAATACAGATTTGCTTCCTAGCCCTCTTCCCTGCAGTCATCGTGGTCCACTCTCCTTCTTCGGTCACAGCAGGTCTCAGTTTCAACTGCAACTACCCGCCTGATGGAAGCATGAAAATGATGCTACCCACTTGTGTGGTACTACATGCTGCACGCTTGGCCAATTTGAAATATTGTGTCAGCTGTAATATAAAGTATGCCGTGAAAACTCTACTTTAAAGATAGTACTTAAGGACCCGCGATGTATCAGAGTCACTGCAGAAAAGGTCAAAAAGGAGGATATTACGGCCTCAGACTGTGATACAAGCTGTCTTGTTCAGGAACCTACAATAAAAAATTTCGGGTGGATTGAGATATCTTGTGACCCGATCGCACTTTCTCCAACGGTAACTGCGTAGGTCACGTAACTAGGGTTTCCGAAGGCTATACAAGGAGCCGCATTACCTCCTCTGAATTCCGTAACCCACATCAGATATCTCCCTTTTCCGCGTATAAAATAGGGTCATCAGATAACAAGATGGAAAATGTTCTCTACGGTGATCAAGTATGTCTACTGATATCACCAATTCAGAGCCGCGAGGCTTCTCTATAGCCATAGGGAGACGAACCACTTTTAATGTGTAGAAGAGATAACGGTTCTAAAGTAATTTGATAGAATTAAGTGAACATTAAACTAATCACCAAACCACAGCATAAATTACTTTATTCAGAAGGTCGCTTAGCTCTCAGCCTACAGAATTTTTGCCTTAGAATCAGTAACAGGGTTGGAATGACTACTACATGACACAACTCTGCCGTGTTTTGCATGATGGTGAGCGAAGTTGAAAAGATTTCTTTGAAAGGTATCACGTAGGATGTTCTAGAGTGGGTGTGGTCTAGATGCTGTCTGTCAGTTGTAGGATCAATGGACAAAAGCTTCGAAATACGAAATTTTGTAAATAGAAATGTGGCACGGTTTTGAAAATATGGACGGGAAGCTTCTGCACCTTCCTTTTTTCAAGAGAAATTGTCTGGCCGGATCCTTAACTGGTATAAGGCATCCGAAAAGCGACATTAAGTAATTACAGAAAACCTGAGATATTTTACTTGTCGAAGCAATCCCCTGTTACAATTCCTTTTCGTCGTGACTCAAACTGGCGGAGGTTTCTCCTCCTACAAAGTGTTTGATCAAAAGAAGCAAATAACCTGTCCTAGTCACCTCCGTTCCTGTCTCACTTTTATTTATTAATTTTCGGTCCTATTTCATGTTTTTTTTTCAGGGTGCCACGAAAGGGTGTCAATCATAAATTAGAGAAACAATATCAGGAGAGCAAAGAGGTTGAGGTGAAGTGCTATCTTCCACCCATCCTACTTCAAGTGTGGATCTTCAAACGGGAAAATTTATTGTGGGTATGCGAAATGAGGTGACGTATTGTTTTTGTTTTGTAGGAATAGGACCGTTTTCTGACTAATTAATCAGTTCTGATTCTTTACCACGGGGACGTTTTTCTTGCACGCCTTTTAGTTGCATATTATAAAGTTGTTCGATTTCAAGTGAACAGTTCTGTCTGCACTATATTACACACTACAATCAATTCAATATCAACCGCTTTTGATGGATGCGTCCCGTTAAAACACCTTCGCATCTAGGAAAATGAGTTATTAATACACACTGATTCCCTGCTTGTCATGAGTTGGGGCTTCTACATGCATGTGGTATGGATCCAATCGGACTCCTAACCGGGCATGCAATAGACAATGGCTTTATAGGTAAGCACGGTGGTACGAGGCAAGTTTACGAGATTGATGGATAAATAATAGATAATAATGGAGACCGGGTAAGAATCTGAGTCGCTTGACTATCTTCGTCATGTGTACTGATCGGGACTGATTAACTTTGTGCTTAGCGTGATTAATAGCGCATGTGGTAATCAGCAAATGGGGAAGGAGTGAGTTAAAGCCCAAATGCTGCTGTTCAGGAGTGAGACAAGGAGTGGGAATTTTAAGGAAATCAGAAGAGGAGCTTTTCTGGTCTGCAAGCATCGCCAACAGCTAGCCTCTACTCTGAAAGTGTATAATCCCCAAATTACATTCATCAGGCTCATTCGCTCGATATTCTACGATATGCGAGTTCACAAATAAGGAAGTGGTGGAGAATACAGCAGTGTACTGCATGTAAAAAGTTGTACTTATTTTATGGATTCTGACAATCGCTCCAAGTCAGTTGCAAGGCCTAAAACATAGGCTACGCAAACATTTTTTGGTTCGGGTGAAACGCCCTACTGAAAGCTGAATTAGTTAGAAAGCAAAAATTGACTAAATCCCTACTAGTTTTTTCGAAAATCCCAAATACAGGCAGAATGTGGGCAATGCCGCGCTTATCCAGCAGCAGAAATTTAAAAAGCCCTCACTACGCAACTTTCTGTATTTCACATAAAATTTGAACAAACATGACCCGGTCAAAAGTGACCGCTATCCTACAGGCAGTATTTATCATTTCCATCACAGGCGTTTGGGTTAGAAATGGAACAAGCTAAGCCAATAAGGCGTGCGCTGATTTCCAAAATCGCTGGGCTTTCTATTCTGTCTCAGAAGGGGAAAGTTGAAAGGTTGCGTGACTGTGTTAAGCCCTGTGGCAAGAACGTCTTGGAGTGGCATATTTTGGACACTGTTAAGATGTTGGTCATTAGGAAATGTTACAAATAATATTAATCAAATCTCATTTACAAAAGCGCGCAGGCATGTCATATGCGATTATGGAGCAGTAGACTAGGTTGCCGGCATTATTTGAAACCTACTTTTTTTGAGTTGATGTATACTTCTTACCTAAATTGTACACTATTTAAAAGAAATTTTCAACCTAATTCGAAGGGTGTTTACATCAAATGCTCGCTACATTTATGCGAAAACAGATTGTGCCATTCGTGCTACTCTATTCTCTGCCTGTCACTGAAATCACAACTTCCCATCAGGCCGTTAGAAGCGAAGGAAAGTGGCTGAAAGACTGGTGGAATTGCTGCATACCAGAGTTTTGGAAGGTAAAGTGAAATCGTATGCCTTATTATCCTGTCCATGCCGATAGCCTCCAAGTAATGGGCGTTCTTCCGAGCCGCCACCTCATGGAATATCTTCCCAAATGTCTCAGACCGCTGCAAGTGTATCAAGATAGGCTGCCAAGAGTAGTGTAGTAAAATTGAAAATAAAATGTGATATTCGATTATTTTTTTATCGTCATTACGAGGCTTTCGACTACACAGGTGTTTTTATTGTGAAGAAGCGCTTTATACCACTTAAAAATAGATGATTTTTGACTGCAAACATTTTTACATGGTGTTCGTGTCACTTTTTTTTAGAAAATTTAGTAAAATGCCATAGAATAAAAAGCACTAATAAAAGTATCCCCTTGTGGACAAAAATTACAAACCTAATCCTGTCTAGCCGTTTATGTATGCTGCTCACCGTTCCTGTAGGATGGGAGATAGTCAAGTCATGCACATTAACTTTTATTTACTTGAGACAACCTTTGAGGATGATTTTGAATCATTTACATCAAGTCACAAAGCATTGCAAGTCCAGAAAATCGCCCTATTACCATGGTGGATGACGAAGTGCGGCAGACTAGAATGATTCACATGATATTGCTCAACAATTGAGGCAGTAAATAGCTTGTTGAAATATGAACTAGTTAGTAGGACAATGTGATAAAACTTACCGTATTCAGCCTAAATCGACTTTTTACAAAAATAATAGCAAAGTCAGATTAAGCCCAGAAGGTGGGAGCATTCTTCTTTTAATTTGCGTGTGACGCAGTAATGCGAACAGGAGGAAGCAATTTTTGCATTACTGATTCCACACACTGTGAAAAAAGTGAAAAATAACGAGATTTTTACTCCTCGCTTATACACTCTCATCCGGTAAATTAGACATCTAATCACAGAGGGTCAAATAGCGCTAAAATCGGTAGGTTTGACAAGTGACTGTTCTGAACGTTGCTCAGGTGGCAACATAATTGCGAGTCACTTTTCAATCTCATTATCAACCAAATCGAGCAATCATCTGCATAGATGGCAGAGAATAAGTAAAGTGGTCCAGAAACTCGAAGTTAATGATTTTTTGAAGTCTGTCCTACACCTATCTTGACAACTTGTTTGTCTGCCATTCGTATAAACTGCTCTC